TTAATGCTTTTGGCCAATAAAACTTGTATCTACCCACTATCAACATAGATGATGCATGCAAGAACAAGAAATCAACAATAAACACCTCTTTTCCATTTTTCCCCAAAAAGCCCTAATTTTCGAAATCACTCCCAATCTTTTTGAAAATTTTGAAAACCATTTTAATACTATTGATGCCATTTAATTGTAGCAAGAAATCGGAATTTCTTACCTTAAAATTGACGAAAATAAAACAACCGAAGGAAGAGAGGCTTTCAAGCACCAGAATCCAACCAAGCTACCTTGATTGTGAATGAAATGGTGTGAGCTTCAAGGAGGGATGAGTTGTTATCTCCCGTAAGGAGGCAAGTAGTTTTGATGGTGATTTTGGCGTAGTCTATAGCAAGAGTTAAATAGGGGACCTTCATTTTGTTTTTGAGATTTTCTTTGAAAATGGGAGGTGAGGTGGATGAAGAAGAAGGCCGGTGGTGGTGGTGATGGCTTCGGTGGAGAGAGGAGGAGAAGACAAGTAATTGGCTAGATGTTGGATGGAAAAAGATGAAGAGTGTCTCTTCATCTTACTAATCTCCCCTTGAGTGTAAAATTAGAGGAAATGATGGCAAATTGCCAAGTGGAATGACATGCATTATTAGTACTAATTTATTTATTTAAATAAGTCCAACTTGTATAACACACACACACACACAATTCGGACATGCACACACACTCACACACACACACACACACACACATATATATATATATATATATATATATATATATATATATATATATATATATATATACTCAAATATAAAATGCAAGTATTAGCATATATGTATGTATATGTACGTATATACATATGCATGTATGTATGTATGTGTATGTACGTATATACATATATATAAACATAATTCACATAAGTCACGAAATTCACGAAATTCCTAGAATTTTAATTTACGGGAATGAAATCATATAAATCACACATAATAACGCACGTAATTATTCACGTAAGTCACATAATTAAATTCACGTAATGCATATAATTAATATCATGTAATAATATTACCTAAGGGTTCTCGTTAGAAATATTAGTCTCGGGTTTTAGGGTTTTCGGGTTTTGGATCGAAAGGTGGGGTGTTACACGAACTACAATTCAAAGACATTAATGCGCATCAAGAAACTAGCACAAAAACACTCGCTAGAAAAGATACGCACAGAAGTGAAAGTACAAAAGCATGCACAAAAGTACTCATGCAAAAGTGCATTCATAAAAACGATCATGAAAACACAAACTACAATCTTAGGACATGAATACAAATCAACAAACATGCACAAACACACTTGCTCAAAAGGACGTGCATAAACGTAGATGTACAAAATCATGAGCAAAAGGGCATTCGCAACAACATTCATAAAAACTCGAACTACAATACTAGGACTTGAATACGCATCAACAAACAAAAGCAAACACACTAGATAAAAACGATACAATGGAGTTTAGCAATAACACTCAATACATTTATATTTACGTGGATTGTTCAATTCTCCATTTTTTTTATATTTTTTTATTCGATCTCTATTCTATTGTTTTATAATAATTAGCTCCTTAATTAGAGAGTAGTTGTAGTTTGTTCTTGTATGTAATTATTCGAAATTAAAACTCACTACATTCAATTATTCTATGCTATATTTGTGTTTGTGTGTCAAAATATGAAACTGACAAAAACTTACTGCATCTTGCAAGTTCATTTAACCCACCCCATTTACTATTAAATTACCTACCAACTACCACATTAAAAACCTTGTGACTACAATGAAAAAAGAAAGATTTTTGTATCATTTGCCATCAAACTTATTGAGTTGTTTTTTTAGTTTAATTTGATAATAACTTATTATAGATCGAACTAGTTTTAATTCAACAGAACAAAAATCAAAATCAATTACCTTAATGTTGATTGAATATGATAGAATTTATTTCGTGCAGATATAAATTATTTGTGTCAGATTCAGTTTTTCGTTACTGTTGCGTGAAGTGTTGCAACAGTTCGTGAAGCAGTTCGTAAAAACAGAAATAAACGAGACACAAATTTTAATGTGGTTCGGATACAATTGTACCCTACATCCACGGGGACCTGCAAATAAAGTTTACTAATTTTTAGTTTTACGAATACAATAATAGGACTTAATCAAAAAACAAAGACTCCCTCTTTGTTGACGCCGTTCTTGTAAACTACGCTGAATTATAAATCTTCAATTTGCAGCACGTCCCTTGCTCCGCACGGTTGAACTCCCTTCAACGTTGAATCCCTCAGTCGGCGGATCGATCTCCTCCCGAGATCTGTTTAAGCCCCTCTCCTGAAGAACCGATCTTCTTTTTGTATAGAAGAAGCAAACTTGTGATACTCCTTGAATCTTGGTGTCTTCAACACAAAGCCTTGAAGCCGGTATATTTTCTATGAAAATCACGTATCACGATGGAGCAATAAAAACGAGAGGAAAAAAAATAATTCTCTTGAACTTCTCTCGATAAACAAGACGCTTGAAGAGCAGCAAAGAAAAAGCAATATTTTTCTCTCCAGCAGACACACACCAAAACGCCGTGATGTGCTGCTTATTTATATCCTATGAAAAATAAGAATCCTGTAGAAAAACAAAGCCCATTAGGGTTAGAATTCTTAAGACACGTAAAAGTATGTATTTGAGAACAAAGGAAACTCTCTCTAGGAATAAAGACAATTTCCTATAAAAATCAATTAATGACAAAATAAAAGAATAAAAAGCTACAAGGACTCTTCCCTTCTTTAGCTCACGGTATATGCAATCTTGTGGCACAAGTTTTATTTAATTCTCGTATAATTAGAATCCAAGGGATTCTAACAGAATATTATATTATTAATATTTTTTTCTAATTTTATTCGAACTCGAATCGAGCTTCATAATTTATCAAACTTGAAAAATATATATTTAATATTTAAGCTAATTAGTTGGTTCTGTTAACAACCAAATTAAAACGAGATTTTGAATCAAGAATCATTGAATAGTTTGATTTCATCCCTAGTTGTGCTCAAAGTGTGTCAATTTATTATGGTGTAGATCACATTAATAATGCGAAAGCTAATTAAATTACATTAATAAATAAGAAAATAAATCCAATTTATTGTTGATTTTGATTTTAAAGCTACTTAGATATAACTTCCACAAATAAGTGCAAAATTCCCATTTATCATTAATTAAGTTTGCTTATAAGAGCAAAATTATATTATGTAAATTAATATAGAGGGAAAAAATATCTGCTAACTTATTATATGATGAATGGAATATAATTTACATTATAAGGAATATAGTAAATATTCGTTAAAAAAAATAGTGTGCCTTTAGTTACACATTTTATCTTTATGTGGATTTATTTTCATTGTGATTAAAATTGTGGACCTCCATTTTTGAATAATTACCAATTATGCATATTTTCCCTTTTCTTCCTTTTTTATTATTTTTTTCTATTTAAAATAATAAAATGTATATTCAGATATTTTTTCGATATTATGTATATATATGAATTAGTTACTAATCTCAATTATGATGCATTAACATTTATACAACGTTCATGTAAGCAAATTGACTGCGACACTGACTTATTTCAGAGGCGAAAGAAAAAGAAAATAAATACTAAATTTTCTAGAAAATAGTTCTCTACAAAGAAATTCCAAATTAAATCATGTCATAAATGGAAAAAAAAAACAAATATAATCAGATTCCAATGAACTTATAAAATGTTTAAAATTTTGGAACTTATTAGACTTTGTGTAATTTTGGAATTGTTTCGAGGTTTGGGTGAAATGATGGAATATTACATTCTTTGTAATATATTCAAGAACTCTAATAAATCAATTAATCTAACTTAAAGATATACATATAAAAATTCCAGAAACGCATAACACAATTCTAGAATCCAGATTAGGGTTGAATAAAAACACTGAGAAAAAGAAAAATCGAACCAAAAACCGAAAAAAATCACATATACGCTAAAACAAAATTAATAACCGAATATATTGGTTTATGTATGGAGAATAAAAAAGTTGCCAACTCGACTACCCGAACCGAATGGATTTATACTAAACGGCGTGTTTTGATATATAGTCTAAATATTTACCGTCTTTCCCTACCACGCCTCTATCATTCGAACGCCACCATGTGACATGTTTTTTAGTTAATTTTGGGTTGCGACATGTCATTTATTAGTTAATTTTGTGTTGTTATTTGTTAATTTTCTCAAGCAAATGTAATGAAAGTTCAAATTCACCGTTAATCAAAATATCGATTTTATACCACACCAATTCGAACCGATATATGAAACCAAAACCCAAAATAAATCGAATTAAACACCGACCCGAAAAAGAACCGACATGATGGGTTCATACAATATGAACAACCGATTTGAAATCGTAAAGGACCAAAATACCCTAAAAATTAAATCCCCTGAATTAAACACGTAACCATTACCTGAACAAATTTTTAATTCACTTTATTTAATTTGAAATCCAATACTTTACGAACTGAAATAATTCTCGTAAATGTTCTTCAATCTTAAGACTTGTTTTACATCCCCATTTGGAAACAATTCCAAATACTGCTTTGATGTTTGGAGGGCAAGACTAATAGTCAAAAAAATGTTAACTACGAAATAGCTAATTGTTTTTTTTTTTTTTTAATTTTGGGTGGGCTACAGCCCCCCTCCCTCTTCATAGGTCCGCCAATGAATTTGCTTGAGATCTCACCTCCCCTCCCCTCCCCTCCCCTCCCCTCCCCTCCCCTCCCCTCCCCTCTCTCTCTCTCTCTCTCTCTCTCTCTCTCTCTCTCTCTCTCTCTCTCTCTCTCTCTCTCTCTCTCTCTCTCTCTCTCTCTCTCACACACACACACACACACTCACACTGTTCTGTAGATGCGTATTTGTCATACATTAATTCATTCATTTCTGTTTTGTTATTTTCAGTCCTAGCTTTATTTGCCGTAGCATCATAATGGCGGGTATTGCGTTCGCTTTTGGGATCTTAGGTATTGTAATCTCTCTTGCGATTTACCTGGCTCTAGTGTACGTCTCCCTCTCTTTCTCTTTGTTTTTTTCTTTTTTTTTTGTGTAATTAATATTTTATAGTTTAGTTTGTTAATTTGCGAAATATATTTATGTTAGTCTACTTTAGTGATAGTTAATATTTGTTATTTTATTTTGTTATAGTTTAGTATGTTAAATTGCGAATTTGTGTTAGCCTACTTTAGTGATAATTCATTTCATTTACAAAACTCCAATTTTTGTTGCACTTGATTTCCAATTTTTTTTTATTGGGATCGGAATTATATTTTTAATTCCCACAAATTCTGAAATAATTTTCCAATATTTCTGAATTATTCCCAAAATCTCTAATTATAATCTTAGCATTATTATGTAATCCTATTGTTTCGTAAATTTTCTATATAATTTACAAAGAAGCACGGGTGAAATATTTAGATCCTGAGAGTTTCGAAATTTAGAATCAAAATGGAAGTATGAAAAAAAAGGTACACTTCCAAAACAAAAAAGGAAATTTTGTCATTTTTTTTTTTCAAATTGGACATATAACTTATGGCTCAGAAAAGCCATAAAATTAAATCCAATTTGTTACGACTTAGTCTGTTTATGCCGAAATAGACATATCTTTATCTATGTGAGCAATACAATTAATAAAGTATACCCTTAACATAAAGTAATATAAAAACATTATCTCCCACACAACAAAAGTGTGCATTTTAATCCTTACAACAAAATATTTATTTTGATCATATTTAACCAATAATTAATAAAAAAAAATAAAAAGCTAAAAGTTAGTTACAAATTTTTGTAGGTATACATTTAGAAAAATCCGCGACGTGAAATCGACGGTAGGGTACACGGTGATTCCGTACACCGTTGCCCTATTTGCATCGGCCATCTGGCTCTATTACGGTGCGATTAGGTTAAACGCAATCACGTTAGTTATCATTAACAACATTGGCTGCATGATCGAGATGGCGTACGTCGTCATATTTTTCTACTACTCGGGGGACTATGATCGAGTAGATTTCCAAATTCTTCTTAATACTTACAAAAATATTAAAAGTAATACTTATTTAAGACATCACTAATAGTTAAAAAAATGATTTTGTAGATTGTTACTATCAGTCTCTGGTATTCTCTTTGGATTATTTTGCACTATCACGTTTTACGTGAATGGTGACTTGAGGATTATGGTCATTGGGTGGATATGCTTTGGATCATCCATCTTAGTCTATTCATCGACTATAGGCACCGTGTTAAGATTAATATTAAATAGAGTTCGTAACTCTAAATTTAATTTAATTTAATTTATATAATTTTTTTTTATACCATTTTTTTTTATATTATAGGTTAGAGCTGTTAGGACACACAGTGTGTACGGTATACCTATCACACTGACGTGCGTCCTAACAGGTAATGCTGTCATTTGGGGCATCTATGGTTTTGCCAAAGGAGATGCCAATACCTGGGTATGTAAATCCTAATCAACATTACATCTAATTAAAAACTAAATAATTAGTAATTATTTTCTAATAAAACTTTTTTTTTAATTAATACGGATTCCGAACATTATCGGATTAGTTTTAGGTATAGGCTAGATTGTAGTGTACGTGATCTTCCGTACACACCAGACTAGCGAGACTACTGGAGAGTCTGAGACTGTGGAGACTATTTGACAGGTTAGAATATTTTTATTTATTATTGTAGTATGGATACATGACGTGGATTGCATTCGCTAACACTTGTTAGTAGGAAAAGAAAGAAGAAGAATAGAGGGATATAAGTCACAGTATAAGTCTAATATGTGTGGATGGGGACATATTCTTGTTGGGGATCGTGCATGTATACGCAGCGGAATTTAAAAATTTTAGATCGAACTAGTTTCGATTACATGCAAAAACTAATCACATAGTCAACGTACCTTAACGCTTCCGCCATACATATGGTAATTATCGATTTAATTGAAAAACACGTAAAACCGAAAATTACGAAACATGCTTGTTCATCATTCAATAAAATCGAAACACGTAATCACATATTACTCATAATCATAAATTATAATTCATACAAACATGCTCGAATTAATTAACGAAAGTTTCGATTTATTTACCTCTTGTAGCGTGAGATTTCGACGAATCGAAACCTAGAACCAATCACGTACAAGCTGCAAATTACCAATCCTCGGGGCTGCAACTCACGGCTGGAACAAGCTGATCCAGCAAGCGACGAACGGCGGCGCGTGGCAGCAGCAGCGGCGGCGTAACGGCCCTTGCGGCGGTGCAGCGGCGGTGCGTGGATTCGTCGGGGCAGCAGCTCCTCTCCAATTAGGTTTCACCTCGTACCTCGTAT